TTGTGTAAGATGAAAGCATGATCAATCAAAGCTGCATATACCAAAATTCAATTCAATAAGGCGCTCATGGCCATCCAAACATAGAAAACCAATCTCAATAATAGACTTTGGCAAGTATGGGAGAAATGAATCAAGCAGTCAAGAGATTATGGATTGAGAAACCACCAAGAGATATAGATAACCCCCCAAGCTAGCGAATAGCTACTCCTCCAAGCTAAAATGAAGCATTGTCCTCAATGCTCAAAATAAAGGCACAAAGGGTGGGACGGAGGGGAAGAAAGAAACCGTATCCACACAACAAATCATTTTCATTCAATCCAAATGCATATAAGAAAGCAAATCCAAGATGAGGGAAGAAGGAAAGAGTAAACCAAATGTGAGGTGGGTTTTGAAATCCGCAATTAAGCACATTGTCCACATTTTCATCTAATTCCTCGTCATTGTGCTTTTCCAAATGCAAGCAATCATTGGTGTGGTTCTTCTCAAGGTTCTTAATCCAAAATCCTTGCACTTGATTATATGCATCAAGTACCTATACACAAAGACAAGAAGATAAACAAAAATGAGAAACGAAAAATAAAGAAAAGAAAGAAAGCAATAAAACATAGGTTACTTCCCGAGAAAGGCTTGCTTAACGTCCAAGCATGACCAATCTAGTAAACAACCCGACAAAGAACGCAAAAGCTTGTCATATGCACCGGCAAACATATCAAGAAATAGAGCATACGCGATGCTCATATGACAAGCAAGCACAAAGTACAAGAAGCCTTTATGCTTGAGAGAAGGGAGAAAAGAAAAAGTAAAAGAATCAAAAGAAAAATCAATAAAATAAGAAGAAAAAGTAGAAGAAGAAGGAAAAAGAAAGATAGGGAGGCAAACTCTCCTCATAAAAATCTTTTTGGTTGGCATTATAACTCTTTTCCTCATCAACAATGAAAGAGTTGGGGGCTTCGGAAGCATGAATAGGAAAAGGATCCCTAAGGGGTTTTTTGAGAAAAGAAGGGAGGAACATAGGATAGTAGGGGATATGGTTAAAATTTTGGGAGAAAGGTGTATGAGAAAGGGGAAAAGGGGTAGCTACTCCCTCACCACAAGGTCTCACATCACTAATGAGGGCATGGAAATCAATCATAGAATCCTCAAATGAAGAACTCTCACGATCTACATCTCCCTCAAGCTCAAAAACTCCAAATGATTCAACCTCAACCTCCTCTTCACCATCTTGAACAACATCTCCCATAAATATCTCAAGGCCTACCATCTCAAATTCAAGAGTGAATGGGGGAAAATTTCTCTCAAACCCATCTCTCTCTGATGAAGCATTATGAATGAACTCACTCAAAAGGTTATGGGCTTTTATTTACAACTTAAGAAATATTTGGGCCATAATCTCAAATGAGTCCAAATCATCATGGATAGACGAGTCAAAAGCTTGTTCATTGGAATCATTTAGGGCACTATGGGGCACACCTTTAGAATTCATGTAAAAATCGGATACAATATGAGAAAGAACATGCACTTCATCATCATTAGAATGCACCTCATTACATTAAGCTATAGAGGGAGGGGAGTTGAAATTATGCATTACATGGTCACTATGGGGAGCATCAAGCACGTCATGGGAATTCATATTAGACAAATCATGACAATTAGCATCAACATTGAAAGCATGAGAATCCCAAACATAAGTCTCATGATTGGCCCTCTCCCAATCATAATTTTCCCTAGCTAACCATGAATAGAAATCCCAAGCTTCATCCGAAGACATGTCTTGAAATCTACCATTTAACATATTGTCAACCACTACTCTAAAATGCTCATTTAATCCCAAATTAATGATTTCACAATAATCACCCTTGGTAAAATCTTTAACACCGCCTAGGAAATCCTCAAGTCTATTGAAATATACCCAAAACGGTTCATTATCAAATTGAGGAATAGAAATATAAGCCATTTTTTATCAACCACAAAAAAAACAAAAAGAATAAAAACAAATCAAATGAAAATTATATACAAAGGACTAGTCTCAATAAGATAACACAACGGTAATGGAAGCCATTCCCCGGCAACGGCGCCAATTTGACAAGGGGAATAAACACGTCGTCAAATGTCTATCCCTAGATCAAATACAATTTATACAACCTAAACAAACCTAATACGAGTATAAGGCAAGCATAAGGGTTGAATCACAGGGAACGAGTAAACACTACCAAATGCTATCAACAATTAAGTTAGTCCGGAATAAGAGATAATTAAACTAAGGTCTAAACAGGCTAAGACAAGAAATAAAACATTGGGGGAAATGGTTTAGGTGAGTTTGCACTCAAGCATGAATAGACATGAAATTGTTATTGAACGCGAATTAAGAATCACACATCAACGGTTTAAGACACAATCTAACATCCTATTGGAGTCAATTGCTTTCTTGATTCATCAACAACCTACACTATCGTCTTAGGTCGAGCAAATCAAGGTAATAATCTAGCAAAACCGTTCAATGGAAGTCTCTAAGCCGAGCTATCGCTACAACCTAGGTCAATCCACCTAGTTATGACTAATGGTTGGCCACCCAAGAGAAACAACTACTAAGATATGCAAAACAAAGACTTTAATCACAATCACAACAATTTCAATATCAAAGCATACTTGAGATTCAACTACACCATCACCAATTCTTTTCGTAAGAAAACTACACACTAATCATGACAATAACAAGATTAATTAACAAAACAATCAAGAATAAACATGATTAACAAGCAATACTAACAACCAAAACAATAAAAAAAAAGCAAAAAAAATAGATGAGAGAGAGTTAGAGATTCTCATTGATTGAAGATGAAATTTTACAAACAAGATAATCAATCTTCTTCTTCAAAATCCAAGCTCAACAATGGTGAAACCCTCACTTTCTCTCTCTAAACTACTCTAACCTAAAATTCTAAAACCCTAGAGAGAGAAGCTCTCCTAAAACTAATTAAGAAAATAGAATAAAAATCTAATCTTCCTAATGACCCCCAAAAAATGAGTATTTATACAAAGCCCATAAAACTATCAGACCCTTATTTCTTCTTCTTCGATTCCCTTTGGATGCTCTAAATGGGATTTTAATCCCATGCTTTGCCCCCCATCAAAATCCATCATCAAGCTTCATCGTGAAATCGCCACCGTTCATCTTCAACAGCATTCATCAAGCATCAATTCAAGCCGTTCGATCTTCATTAAAATCACGTGAGAAGCTTGTGATTGAACCCACAATTGCGCGCCCGCGAAGACGTCGCGCAGAGGTTGCGCAAATGCTACTGCCTCAAATCTGTTTTTGGACTCCAATTGCGTGTGCCTTCTGACAGGGCTGCACGCCCGCGATGCTCTCCAATCAAATTGGGGCTAAATTAAGGCTTGTGGCTTGCGAAATGGTGAAGAATGGTGGCCAGAATTCGCTGCTGGTGTAGTTGTTAATTGGTGGTTGTCGTTGTGGTGTGCGTGAGGTGATGAGTGGTTGAAGTTGGAGGTTGGTGGTGGCTGCTCTGTTGACGGTGGTGCAGGTGCTGCTGCTTTGTTTTGTTGTTGCTGCAATTGCGGGCAATTGGTGGTTGCAAATTAGGTTGCGCTGCGGCTCGGTGAAGGGGGTGTTGGTTGGATATGGCTGTGAGGGATTGAGGGATGAGTTGGGGAGCTTGGTGTTGCGGGGTGGCTGCAACTGCTGCGGTTGGTGGCTGCTTGGAGTTGCGGGTTGAATGGTGGTTTGTTGAGGCTGCCGGTTTGGGTGTGTGGTTGCGGTTGATGTGGGTGATGGGTGGCAAGGATTGGTGGTGCGGCGTTTATTGTTCGGTGGTGATAGGAGGTGGCAGGTGCGACATTGAGTGGCTGGTGGGTGATGGTGGTTCTGGCAGGTGGCGGTTGTGAATTGGTGAATAGGTGGCTGCGGTGGTGTATCGATTGGTAGGAGCTGGTGGAAGTTGGTCGTTTGTGCGGCTGTTATGGGTGTTGGCTGCTAGGAGTTGCGGCTGTTGTGTTGGCTGGGAGCAGGGGAGCTTGGTGTGTTGAAGGATAAGAATAGTGGGGTGAAGGATATGTTGGCAGCGAAAGGGCAGTGAGATGGGATAAGACTCGTTGGCTTGTTTTCGTTGCAACGCTTAATTGATTTTGAAGCTAAGACCTCAAAACATCAAGCTTGAACATCGAAACTCTGAATATGACAAACTAACTCGTGTCTTGTCTCGAGCACTCACCTACACAAACAACCGAACATGAGAGAAAATAAAAGACAAATAAAATAAAATAAACAAAATGGGAATAAATAAAGTAAAAATAAAAGAAATAAAACTAAATCTATGAATTAAGGACTAAAATCATGAAAAACTCATAAAAACTAATCAAAACTCAAAATGAGTTATTAAAATGGGAAAACAAGGAAAACTAAGAAAATTATAGGAAAATAAAGAAAGAAAATATAGAAAAAGGACCTAAATCTTATTCTTTTGAGCGCCATAAATGACGCTCATTAGGGTGGCTGAAAGTGGTTGATTACGGTGGTAAATGAAGGTGGGTCTGTGGTTTTTAGGCGAGAAATAAAACTAAAACTAATAAAATAAAGAAGTTAAACTAAAACACTCCAAAATTACCAAAAAAAACTAGAAACTTTATTAACGAGAAAACAAGAGAATAAAAGGAAAATAAGAGAAAATAAACACGGAATTAACTCTAAAACTACTCCCTAAGAGTGACATAAATGTCAATCATCAAAAGACCAACGAGCCTTAAGAACACTCGCGGCCCAATATGGTCTATTAAATGGTTAATTATGCAAAAAGAGACCTAATGGTCAAAGCTTATTGTGTATAGACCAACCCGAATCCACACGCCTCATGGAGAATACTCACAAAGGTGTTTGTGGACCTCACATGAATGGTAAAATGCTTGCTAAAATAATTTCACTAGGGTACTATTGGTCCACTGTGGAACATGATTGCATACAATATGTTAAAAAATGTCCAGAGTGTCAAATCACTACCACAAAATAGGGAATAAGTAACGCATAATAGAGAGCTGACAAGATAGATAGGCAATCTATAGCATTCTATAGAACGCCTATGTAAGATAAGCGCTTTGTAACATATGATTTATATAAAAAATATGACTATAGATATAGTTCGCCTTTCTAAGTTAGGGGCTCTATATGATTTTAGAATAATTAAAAAAAAAGTAAAAAAAAAAAATAGAAATCTTACCCTAAAATAAAATGACCAGCATCTTATCTCGACGCCGCCCCCTCCTCTCCTTTCTCTCTCCTCATTCTATCTTCTCAACTCCATTCCTCATTCTTTCTCCTCTCCTCTCCAACCCCAGGAGGCCAAATTTGTTTTTTGGTTTTAAAATCAAGACCAACGCATGCTTTTGTGTATCATTTCCCTCAAATTTTCAAAGTTAAATTTGATTGCATTCAATCTAGATGTGAGAATTATAGATCGAAGAAATGTGGTGGGTTTGGATCTGGGTGTGTTCAAATGAGTTGTTGCTGCTATGAAACGAATTGTGAAGTCCATAATGCGATGATACATGAAGATAATCCCATTTGTGTTCGAATTTCAATGTTTAAATTCGTTTTTTTTATTTAAGTGATAAATATGATTTATTTGGTTTTTTATTTATTTTTGTTTCCGATCTATAGTTCATGATGAAATTCTTATTTAAAATTTTGATTTCCATTTTAAAATTTTGTTTAACTTCTCAATTATTTTAGATCTGTGGGATATTGGTTTTCATGTTCTAAACTCTGATTTTTCATCTTTTATTAATTGATTTTCATGTTTTGTAATTTTTGATTTTCATGATTTTATCACTAGATTTTCATGCATGTCATAATTCTGATTTTCATCCCTTATCAATTGATTTTCATGTAACAATTTCTTATTTTTATCTTTTATCAATTGATTTGTATGTTATAGTTTTGATTAATTTTTTATTTTTCATTCTTTGAAGGTGTTTGGGACAGGTTATCTATTTTTGTGCGCTATTAATAGATTTGGTGCGTGGTTGAGATTGGTGTAACCAAAGCCCTGTTGGTTGGATACTTGGATGATTGCGGTGGTTGAAGGCAATTGAAGTCGATGCATTTCTTCAGTTGTTTTTTTTTTAGAAAAGGCAAAATTTTATCATTCACAATAAATTAGTTATGTGAGAAACCTTGTAATGTAATTTTTTTTCTCAAGTAATTTACTTATATATTATCATTGAAATACTTGTATTTTAATTTTGTTACATGGTGTTTTAGTTGTTACGTATGAATTATTATTATTATTATTATTATTATTATTATTATTATGATTTTTTTTATTAAAAAAGTAAGGAATAGAGAGCGCCTATCTTTGATAGGCGTCCTATTTTTATATAGATAAAGAGCGCCTATGCTAGGATAACCGCTCTATTTTCCTCGTTATTTATTTACTTTTTACATATAATATGAAGCACCTATCTGTTAGATATAGATCGCCTCTTAGAGGCGTTCTGTAGACTTTATAGGGCACCCCCTCAGAAGAGCGCCGGTGAGGCGATCTGTATTCCCTATTTTAGGCGTTCTATATTCCCTATTTTGTGGTAGTGAATGTTCGCTAATTTACAACACCTTCCACCATCCGAACTGTACAATCTCACTTTCCCTTGGCCTTTTTCGACTTGGGGAATTGAAATAATTGGTAAAATTTCTCCAACAAGAGCAGGAAGGCACGAGTACGTATTAGTAGCCATCGATTACTTTACCAAGTGGATTGAGGCTGCTTCTTACGTGAATATCACTTCTTAAACATGTCACAAAGTTTCTCAAAACAAACATATTTTGTAGATATGGAGTTCCGATCCACACGAACTAATTAGTGATTAGGGGTCTCAATTCAAAGCTGAAGTCGAGACCCTCTTAACTCGTTATAAAGTAAAACATCATCACTCATCTCCATATAGACCTCAAATGAATGGAGCTGTAGAATCGGCAAATAAAAACATAACAGTCATCATTAAGAAAATGGCAGAAAATTATAAAGACTAGACAAATAAACTTCACTTCTCTCTATGGGGTTATAGAACGTCCATACGAACATCAATAGGAGTAACTCCGTACACCTTAGTTTTTGGAATGGACGCAGTTCAACAAGTCGAACTGGAAATACCATCCCTACGCATCGTACTCGAAAGTAAGCTACCGGAAGCTGAATGGGTAAGAGCGAGGTATGAAGAGATTTTATTCCTCGATGAGCGACGATTAAGAGTTTTGCGTCATGTACACTACTAAAATTCGGCCAATTTGCGACCGTTTTTCTACGACCGTCATGAAAACGGTCGCAAAATATTAAATTTGCGACCGTTTTGAAAGCGGTCGCAGATTTGCAACCGTTTTTAAAGCGGACGCAGATTTGCGACCGTTTTTGGGTTATAAAACGGTCGCAAAGGCATTTAAATAGTTTTTAAAAATAAAATACATGTCAAAAATAATTCAAAATAAAAATAATATTGTTGCGACCGTTACTAACGGTCGCAAATTTGGACAATTGTGACCGTTTGAGAGTCGGTCGCAAATTTCTACAATTGCGACCGTTTGAGAGTCGGTCGCAAATTTCTACAATTGCGACCGTTTGAGAGAGTCGGTCGCAAATTTCTACAATTGCGACCGTTTGAGTCGGTCGCAAAAAATCTATTCTTTTTAAAAAAAAAGGGGTTATATAAAAGGGGAGAGAAGCACACCCTAACCCTAATAAGCATACAGCCGCTGCACTTCCCCTCTCTCATTTTTTTCATTTCTCACGCCTCTCTCCTCTTCCTTCTCTCTATTTCCTCTTCTTCTTTCCTTAATCAGTTTCCCCTTCTCCTTTTGTTTCCTCTTATCCCCGATCTCTTTCCTCTTCTCCTTTTCCTTTATCCTCTTCTTCTCTTACCTCCGTTCTCTTTTACACCAGTGCTAGCTGCCTTAATTAATCTTCTTTGGTGATTCTTAACTGAGCAATAAACAAATTTTGATAAATTCAACAAGCAACAAATGATTTATGGTGTTAATGGTCAAATTCGACCATAAAAATTCCAGATCTGGAGTTTTTGTGGTCGAATTCGACCATATGAACGTGGGTTTAATTTATGTTGGATTTATGTTCAAATTTGTGGGTTTAATTGTCGAATTTAGGTTCGAATTTGTGGGTTTAATTGTCGAAATTAGGTTCGAATTTTTTGTTGAATTTAGGTTCGAATTTGTGGGGTTTAATTGTCGAATTTACATTCAAATTTTTTGTTGAATTTAGGTTCGGAATTGTGGGTTAATTTGTCGAATTTAGGTTCGATTGTACTTTTTATTTTATTTTTTTGTACTAAAATTCTGGGTTTAATTGTTATGTTTGAATTTTTTCGTTCGAATTTCTGGGTTTAATTTTTGTGTTCAATTTTTTTGTTTGAATTTTTGGGTTTAATTGTTGTGTTCGAATTTTTTTGTTCGAATTTCTGGGTTTAATTGTTGTGTTCGAATTTTTTTGTTCGAATTTCTGGGTTAAATTGTTGTGTTCGAATTTCTGGGTTGGAATTGTGGTGTTTGAATTTTTTTATTCAAATTTATGGGTTTAATTGTTGTGTTCGAATTTCTGGGTTAAGGGTGGGTGGGTGGTGGTTGGTATGGGTAGTTGAAGGTGGGTGAAGGTAATGGTGGGTAGAGGCGGCGACTAGTGGTTGTGTAGGGTGGGCAGTGGTGGTGGTTTGGGTGGGATCTGGGTTTAAGGGTGGGTCTTTTTCTTTTTTTTTTTGTTTTTTTTAATACTTTTAGCGACGGCTTATGACGGTCGCTAAATTCAATATTTGCGACCGTTTCATAAGGCGGTCGCAATTTCTAATATTTGCGATCGTTTTTTAACGGTCGTTGAAAATAGGTAAAACGACCGTTAAAAATCTACAACCGTCAAAAAGTCGTAATATTTTTTTTTTGCGACCAAGATAATAACGACCTCCATGTTGCTACCGTTGCCGGTCGCAATTATGTTTTGCGACCGTTTTTACTATTTTTTGCGACCGTTTGCGCCGGTCGCAATTTGGCCAATTTTTAGTAGTGTGTACAATTCTACCAACGACACTTTGCGTAACATTTTAACAAAAGGGTACGACCCAAAAATATCAAAAAAGGTGACTTTGTACTAAAAGAGGTTAGGGGTCCACCAACCGATCCAAGAGAAAAATTCAAACCTAATTGGATAGGACTCTACCGCGTAATTGAAATTCTATCAGGAGGAGCTGTCAGATTAATGGATATTGGAGGTGATGAAATTTTCCAATTAATAAACATTGATTGACTTACAAAATATTACATATGAAATCCGGATAAACTCGTTCATTCATTAATTAAATCATTTTGCTTTAACATTCAATTAAAAGTTTCTAAGTGTTACGCACTTTACCGAATAACATGGTGAAGTTCATAACACTTGGGGGGTAATTTAAAAATTAAACATAGACCATTCAAGTGTTCAGATTTTTTCGAACATCACGAAAAACTCTTCACACTTGGGGGGGGGGGTAATATTGCGAAAAAAAATTTAACACTCGTAGCATAGTTATCGCGCGCAACTAAAACAGTTACGCGGTGATGTCACGCGCAACGGAATCAGTTGCCCGCGGAAGTCACGCGTAACGGAATCAGTTGCGCGTGACAGGCTTGCGCAACCTTAGAAGTTGCGCGCTCCACCTGATGACGAACTGCAAACCCAAAATTTTTGCGCTTGAATAAAATTGCAATTTTTACTTGCGATAAAAAAAAGAGGGTGTTTCTCGAAAATAACATATACTCGGAAAATAAAAATTAAGCTTTGATTTAAGTTATTAAACAAAGTTTGATTAATTTTTCATTCAATTTCTATATAAGAGGTTGAAGAAAAATATAAAAAAGTATATATAACAATATAAACATTGCAAAGAACTAAGCAAAGACCTGATTTTGTAATACGAATACGTAGGAAATCTTTATGATTCGGTCATATAAAAAAATAATAAAGGTCATTTTATTCCATTCAAAATTCAAAAAAAAGAGGCATTATTGAACTAGATAATAAATTAAAAAAAACATAGTAGTAATTACACTTTATTGGAATTAAATTATTTGTGTAACACTCTAAGGTTTTACTATATCCTAAATTGTCACAGTCGACGGAGGAGTAGTTTCCATTGCGGTAGTTTGAACACTCTTAGAGCTTTCCCCTTCTCTTTTATTCTTAACCCAAACATTGTTCTTCAATTTAGGAATTGGGGTCTTTTCAACTTGTTTTCCTTTTCCTTTAGCAATTGTTGGAGTCTTCTTGCGAGTATTTGATGAAGGTTCTTTAATCCTCACCCCTTGTTGCGCAGTTTAGAAGGAGCCTTTGTCTTTGGTTCCTTTGAACGAGCCTTAGGAGATGAGAAGTCTAATTTTCTTCTCACTCCTTTGTTTTGGCCACTAGGAGGAGTAGTGGTGGTCGAATGCATCAAAGGTTTGGGTGGATTGCGAGCCGAGGCAGCTTGATTTTGTGATCGAGCCCTGTTTAGTTCACCCTTGTATGCCGCATTCATCCAAGCCTTGTAGAAAAAGGATAACACAATACTCACAGTAGGATTTTTTACTACCCATCTAGGGAGACTTGACCAATATTCCATCTAACGGGGAATCCGTTCAGGTTTAAAGACCACATCCTTAGGGGCATCACAATCTAGAGGGGGAATAATTTGTTTCTTTCTGTATTATCTCATCACCCTGCAAGGAAAGATATAAGTAGTACTAGATAGGCCTAAACGCCTAATATAGGGACAATTGAAACTAATCCCAACCATACTACTTATGTTCCACCACGGAATCACAAAGCGTATGTTAGGAACCCCGTGACAGAAAAACGACGTCCATTCTTCTTCATTCTTGTGTTTGTAGAGAAGTTGACGTCCAGGGAATGTCCTCACTCCATTAGCCTCAAGATTTTATGGCTGATCAACAATTAGCAAACGCTCCATGAGCCAAATCTTAAAAAAAAAAAAGAAGAAAAATTAATTTGCGACATTACACAAGTAGGTGGCGCGCGCATCAAAATCAGTTGTGTGCGCCATCCGCTCGCATCGGAGAAGATTCCGCTGGTCAAGTAGCACAACTCCCCAACTTTTTTTGCATTACAAATAAAAAAAACGTACGTGTAATAGGAGAGGACTTCCCGTGAAACCACTCGTTAGGGTCTCCTCTAAGACGATTCAAGCATAGAACGGTTACCGCCAAAGCTAAAGGATC